ATCACCTGAATTACAATTGCAAAGTCATTCTGTAAAAAGGGGCATGTTAGACTCCCATTGTATTTTAGGGCCAATGATCAAGCCATTTGTTTATATATGCTTGCATTGCAAGTGTTCTGCTTGTTTGTTACAATTTTACAATGCTAATTCCTTGGTGAGAGAAACTATACCACACTAGAGCCTCTGACTAGGGTTGCCAGTCCCCAGGTCCCAGCGGGGGTTCCCCTGGTCTTCAGGGCTTCAACCCACTGCTGGCCAACTGGTCAGATGAAGCTCTTTTGGGAAATGAGAAAAAGAAGGTCAACGCAGCCCATCAGAATGGAATGTTAATCACATGGCTGTGCCTTTTATTAGGCAATGTGGGATTTAAACTCATGGACTTTATTTTGGAATTCTGTGCCTAGGTACAAGATATTGGACTGTATAAGTGTTTTTAAACTTTTGTTAAAAAAACTCCGGTAGAGGCTAAAATGATCCCCAAAGGTTCTTCAGAAGACAGAAAGGTCAGCGTTTTGAGAATATATTTGTCATGGTTCTTACTTGGATATTGACCTCTTGGACAATTGATACAGTAATCCATGTCTAGAAAGACAACAAATAGCTTGACAATGAGAACTGATATGATACTTCTAGCCGATTCCCTGACCTTTCTTATGGCAAGACAACATGAGAAATGTTACATATAATAACATTTTACTGCAGTTTCCAGGTTCCAATACCATCCAAAAGGCGTTTTTTACTATTTCACATTTAACTGCTTTTGCTCCTGATGATTTGATGGTTGTAATTACTTTAAAGTTTAACTTTAGCAGGGTTCGAACTCTCTCCCTCCATTTAATTACATCAGTATGTCATGACCCTGTCTCAGGCTGTCTCTGAAGACTGTTCAGAAGCTTTGATTGTGGGGAAAATGGACATGTGAGATTCTTCATGGGACTTAGGAAACTTTGGAGATTGTTCTATGGACTTTTAAAAGGCCTACACAGACTGTTTGTTTGGTTCTAGATAAAAGTGAAACTAGTAGTTGTTGTCTTTAAAAGTCATAATAGTTGAGACCAGGGGACAAAGGGGTCTTTCTGTTTCCAGGTGAACCAGCAACTAAAGTATTCTGCAGATGAATTAATTTTTGTGCACCAACTTCCAAGGTGAAGTTGGTATGGCTCCAAGATACAAGGTCTTCTGCACAAGTGATGCCTCGACACTGCAATCCCCTCCATGCACACACTTGTCTATCACAAACTTTAGGTAGCCAATAATTTTAGGAACCAAGTTAAGACCTATATTGCTTTACCAAGGTTTTAAAGAGGCCGGTTGTGTGTATGTTTGCTTCCTTTCTCCTTCACTTGTCCATGAATGACCTTCCTAGCAACATCTACTCTACGGCATGTTCTGCAATGGCTGGTGTGTAATACTCCTTACCAGGGGTCTTGTTGTAGAAAAAGAGCTGCCGGAGCTCATTAGCATAACTCATTAGCATAACTTATTTGCATATGCCACGCCCCCTGACATCACCGGAAGTGACAGAAGGCCACACCCCCTGACATCACCGGAAGTGTGTCAGAAGGCCCGGCTACTTACCCTCCTGCTTCATCCTCATTCCCAAACGGAATGAGGATCGAAGTAGAGGGCGGGGTAAAGAAGGGGGCGGGGCTTCACCACGTGACCGCCCCGCCCCCTAGAGGTTCTCTTCCGGAGCTCCGTACCTGAGAGCTCCCCCCCGACTAGAGCCCTGCTCCTTACCCTTCTGGTTTGAATTTTTTCCTTCTGGACATGGAACACAATCATAGCAGCAAAATGGCTCCCCTTCTTTCTTTTTTGTATGATAACCAGGGTAGCAGTAATCATTGCACACAGAAAGAGGAAGTGCCTGTCCCCAAATATGAAAGGAAATTAGGATGAAGGAAATTACACATTATTTTATTGTTTGTTAGCTGAACAATACAAATCAGAGTTCAGTTTAAAAAAAACCAAAGCCTGGTATTGCCCTTTGGTGCTCAGGTAGGTTGGAACAAAATGCAACCAAACACTGCAAAAGATCAGCATGCTGATAAATTTATTTATTCATTGGATTTATACCCCTCCCTCCCCACTGAAGCAGGCTTAGGGCAACTTACATAGAAGCGGTGAAACAGTTAAAAATACATAAAATCTAAAGTGCAATAAACTTGGCTTTATTAATACTGTCTGGCAACTTCCTTGCAAAGAAAGCCACAGTCAAGCTGAAGAGAGACAGAAGGGCCATGTAGCCGAAGACAATATAAAAGAAGAAGAAAGGCTCATCTAAAGATGGTAGTAGGGTTAGGTAAAGTACGATGTCTGGACTGTGGGTTGACATGGACAGAGAGGTAGTTGGGAAGCTGCAGTGAAGGAGTGCAAATCCCTGGGTCAGATGGTATGCACCAAGAGTTCTCAAAGAACTTTCCAGACAGCTTACAGAGCATGTCCATCATCTTCCAGACATTTTGGAGGATGGGAGATGTACCACAAGACTGGAAGAGGACAGATGTTGTTCCAATTTTCCAAAAAGGGAGGAAACTATGGGCCAGTCAGTCTAACCTCTGTCCCAGGGAAGATACTGGAGCAGATTGTAAAGGGATCGATCTGCAAGAATCTAAAGGACAACTTTATGATCCAGGGAAGTAAGCCTAGACTTGTCACCAACAGGTCCTGCCAGACCAACCTCATTTCCCTCTATGATGGAGTGAAGAGTTTACTGCATTGCGGGAATGCTGTTGATGTTGTTTACCTGGATTTCAGTAAAGTTTTGGCAGGGTTCCCCATGATATTCTGATAGGTAAACTATGGACTGGACTCTAGGATAGTTAGGTGGATAGGGAACTGGTTGGAGAACCACACTCAAAGAGTAGTTGTTAATGGCATTTCATCTGAATGGAGGGAGGTGTCCAATGGAGTGGCACAGGGCTCAGTTCTGGCACAGAACTTAATTTTTTTTATAAATAATCTGGATGAGGGTGTGGAGGGTCTACTTATTAAATTTGCAGATGACACCAAATTGGGAGGAGCAGCAAACACACCAGAAGATAGAGATAGAATGCAATGAGATCTGAACACACTGGAAAAGTGGGCAGATTTTAACATGACACAATTTAACAAGGATAAGTGCTGAGTTCTACATCTAGGTAACAAAAATGAGGAACATGCATACTGGATGGGGAATACACTTCTGGGTAGCAATGTGTTTAAACAAGATCTTTGGGTACGGGTAGACCATAAGTTAAATACGAGCAGTCAGTGTGATGTGGTGACAAAAAAGGCTAATGTGATCTTGGGGTGTATCAACAGAGGCATGACCTCAAAATTGCAAAATATCATAGTCCTGCTGTACACTGCATTGGTCAAGCTGCACCTGGATTATTTTGTTCAGTTCTGGAAGCCTCACTTCAAAAAGGATGTGGGCAGAATGGAGTGGGTGCAGAGGAGAGCAATGAGGATGATCGGGGGTCTGGAGACCAAGCCCTATGAGGAAAGGCTGAGGGACTTGGGAATATTTAGTCTGGAGAAGAGGACATTGAGGGGGGACATAATTGCTCTCTTGAAGTACTAGAAGGGCTGTCACTTAGAGAAGGGCACGAGGCTGTCCCTGTTGGCAGCAGAGGAAAGGAATCGCAATATTGGGTTTAAATTAAGGGTGGGAAGATGCCAGCTGGATACTAGGAAAAACTTTTTTACAGTAAGAGTTGTGCAACAGTGGAATCAGCTGGCTAGGGAGGTAGTGAGCTCCCCATCACTGGCAGTCTGTAAGCAGCAGCTGAACAAACACTTGTAAAGAATGCTCTAGGCTGATCCTGCATTGATCAGGGGGTTGGACTAGATGGCCCCTTCTAACTCTGTGATTCTATGATTCTAAACTATGGTGACAGACCCTTCATTACATTCTGCTACACTCTCTTTATTCAAAGAGAGCATGTCAAAATCTGGAAAAAGGGGAGAGGTTCCTAGCCACATTATAAAAATGTCTGTTTGTATGAGGGAACAGGAAAGAAATATAGAGTTTTCCAGTCTTTTAGCCACCCACTTCCTCATGTTGGATCCTGGTATAGTGGCCATGAAAGCTAAAACTGCAGTGATGGTTTTAGCCAGCACACAAGAAACCGCCACTGAGAAGATGATGCCAAAAGCGGCTTGTTTTAAGAAACAAGCCATCTTCTTCAGCCATCCCAGAAAAAGAAAAGAACAGAGAAAGCAAAGTAGGAGGGAGATGAGCATAGTATAGGTGATATCCCTGTTGTTGGCTTTGACAATGGGGATATTCTTGTATTTAGTGAAAGATCACAGCACAAAGAAACTGCAATAGAGGATAATCCAATCCCCAAAGGTTCATCACTAGAAAGAAAGATCAGTGTCTTGGAAATACTTTGGTCCATACATACAGGGTGAGCAGCAATTAGCATGCATTGATGTGTAAATATATCCCTCTTAATTGTCAGATGCTACACATCAGTTCCAGTTTTGATATATTTATTTGTTTAATAACTTTCCCCCTTATAATTAAATCCAAACAATGGCCATATAAACTCCTCTGATTAGTTGTTAAAGATTACAAACATATTAGTAATTTCTCATTCTCAGTAATCATCCAACCAATCAACTTTCAGCCATTATAGGATTGTCAGTAATCACTAAGGAATTGCTACACACCACTGACTATTTTTATAAAGGAAAATAGACCTGACTTGGTGCAGAATGTATTTTTAAAATGCTATATGTAGTAATGGAAGAAGCTGATATATCCTGAGGGCTCAGACACAAACATTGCACCAAAGAAATAAGTCAAATAACCACAAACTTTATTCTCCACTCTTCATTGACTGATATTTCTGACCGTTTTGTTGGTTGGGCTTTCTTGGAGCATGTGACTGCCGTGCTTTGAGATGTAAGAGATTCTTGACATCAACCATTACCCTCTGCAATACTCTTAGATCAATCCCATTAGCTCTACTCTAAAGTGAAAAATGTCTCCAAGAGGAATCTTAAATGCTTTAATTCTTTCTTCTTGTGAGCAGTTCCCTATTGTTCAACTCAGGCCTCAGCAGAATAATGTAGCATTTAGGGGAAAAGATACAAGCCAGCAACCCAGCACCGGAGGTCAAGATAGAGAAAATCTCCACAGCTACCATGTATTTCCCTTTGGTGCTCAGGTAGGTTGGAAGAAAACACAACCAAACACTGCAAAAGATCAGCATGCTGAAGGTGATGAATTTGGCTTCATTAAAACTGTCTGGCAACTTCCTGGCAAAGAAAGCCATAATCAAGGTGGTGAGGGACAGAAACCCCATGTACCCCAGGACAATAAAAAACATGGTGAAAGATCCTTCATTACATTCTAGGATGATCTCTTCAGTGAGAGAGAGTAGGTCCAAATCTGGGAAAGGGGGAGAGGTTCCAAGCCACACCATACAAATGCCCACTTGAATGAAGGAACAGGAAAGAAGGATAGAGTTGGCCAGTCTTTTTCCCAACCACTTCCTCGAGCTGGACCCCGGTTTGGTGGCCATGAAAGCTACAACCACAGTGATGGTTTTGGCTAACACACAAGAAACAGCCACTGAGAAGATGATACCAAAAGCCACTTGTCTTAAGAAGCAAGTCACCTTCCTAGGTAATCCAAGAAACAGGAAGGTGCAGAGAAAGCAGAAGAGAAGAGACATGAGGAGAGTATAGGTGATATCCCTGTTGTTGGCTTTGACGATTGGAGTATCCTTGTGCTTAATGAAAATTCTCAGCACTAAGGCTGTGACTAGGGATAAAGTAATTGCAATGGAGGCTAATCCAGTCCCCAAAGGTTCTTCAAAAGATAGAAAGCTGAGTGTCTTTGGAATACATTGGTCATGGTCTTTGCTTGGGTATTGATCTCCTGGGCATTTGATGCAGTCGTCCACATCTGCAAAGAGAAAGTATGACTCAGCAAGACAGTAGCAATTCTTATGAGACTCAGAGCTAATTTCTTGACCACCTTTGGTACAGGACCAACATGGGAAATGTTATATTTCTGTTTCCAAACACCTTCAGAGTTCTGATTCTTTTATTTACATCCCTACATGCTTTGGGGCTTGTGCAGTTGGAAGCCCAGCTTCTCTCATGTTCTTCAGCCCACCAGTGAAGATCCTTTTACAAGCCTTGCTTTCTGTGCCTCAACGGCAGAGACAACACAAATGATGAATGGAGACAGAGATTTGGGGGGAAGGGTCATAACAAGATTACTTTAAAAATTGGCAATTGAGGCCTCAGGCTGACTGACATCCTCCTTCCCTGACCTCCTGCATGGGGGAGACCCCAGGGGGGAAACCTATTTTTTAAACTCACTCTATTTTGCTGGTTTTGTTGTCGCATGCAACACACACTCACTGGCTTTGAGATCTATGCATGTCTAGAAAGCCATGTCCTCAATCTCACCCATGGATGTATCTTTCCATTTAAATATCTACTGGTGCCTGAGGTGCTGAGAAGGGAATGGGTCACAGTTGGCGTGGAGTCTCCCTATGTCAAGATAGCTAGGCTTTCTTGTGGGTCAACAGGAGACTTGAACACATTCAAACCAAAGATTAGGTTTTAAAATGAAACATTTATTTAAATTTTCAAAAGGAAAAAATACAAAATCCAGCAACAAAACATTTCACGGAGTACAACATAAAATAACAAATGCTAACTTAGACTACCTGTATTTTACAGTGTAGTTCTCAGGAGGCACAGGCCGTAAATCATGACGAGGAATGTCGTTTCACGTCGAAGTCTGTAAGCACGAACAGCATACAGGAGTAGGAATGTGCATTCAGTTCGTCCATTCGGACCCCTTTTGGGCTGCTGTAGGCCGATTCAGATTCTCTGAACTGAATTGGCTTGTCACCGAATTGCAGCCGAATTGCAGCGGCAATTCGGCCCCATTATATCCTAAGGGCCATTGAAGTCAATGGCGAAAACATAGGGTATATTCTGGGGGCTGGAGGGGAGGGGGTTTGAGGGAGAGGCTCCAAACTCACAGGGTAGCTGCTGGAGCCTCTCCCCAAAATACCAACCAAGTGTGAAGAACATTGGACCAGGGGGTCAAAATCTACAGTCCCTCAAACAGGTTGTCCCTATCCCCTCCATTGTTCTCTTTGGTGGGGGAAAAGTTACTTACCCTGAAGGAAGCTTAGCCAATTATTATAGGCTGTAGACCCAGTCACATTAGAGCTTGCTATAGGAGCTCCCCAGTCACCAGAATCTAAGTGCGGTAGTGTACATCAAAATTTGTATAAGAACTAGCATTTTGAAATATGACTTGCAGCACTTCTTGCTAATGAAGAAATAATTACAGAATGACAAACCTGATGAAGGACATGCAAACGGATAGTGTACTAGAATTCCGTCGTTTGTCTGTAACTAGTAACTGTATTGCTTTGTATGTACTGCTAAGCTTTATATCGTATATTGTAGTGTTATTGTTGTAATCTTGTTTGTCTGTAACTAGTAACTGTATTACTTTGTATGTACTGCTAAGCTTTATATCATATATATTTTACAGTGGAGCGGTGGCACAGTAGGTATATCCCACTGTCTTAACATCCGAACTGTGTCAGTTCGAGCCCCGCGCTGGTGTGAGCAGTCAGCCTGTTGTCCCCAGCTCATCGTCCACCCAGCAATTTGAAACCCTTGGTGAGTAGATAAAATGGGAACCACTCCTTAGGGAGGGTGGGCACACCAACTCCCCTCTGGGAAAGTATTAGCTGTCGGTTGGGGACGTCCTGGTCCAGGATCCAGAAGACAGAAGAATCTACTCGGCTATGAAAAAACCCTGCAGTGTGATGCTCCGGTCAGGCGATGGCAGTGTGGCGACACGACATATGGGTCCTGAAGCCCTAACATCATCAAGCCAGTTGACACAGCCATTCGGGACATTACTCAGCCAAGCCAGAAACGTTTCCACCATGCAGTTACGGTGTGTGCAATTAAATGAATTATATGTTGTCTTCCCTATCCCCTATGAAAACATTGTTAGTCCCCTATCTAAAGAGTAACTGTAAATCACTTTGAACCCACTTGTGGGGAAAGCGATTAATAAATCGAAAGCATTATCATCATCATCATCCTCATCCTCATCATCATCATCGTCATCATCATCATCATCATCATCATTTTGTAGTGTTATTGTTGTAATCTTGTTAATAATTTAATTCTAAACATTGCATATAAAAACTAACAAATATTTTTTTAACTGTACACGGTGATTTACTGTTTTGCTGGCTATTATAAACCGTGGTCCTGTTTGTTGTACTATATCTTAATGTCATGCAGCATCTGAAAACACTCCACTTTCCAGTAGGTAGGACAGATGGACTCACATTCCAGCTGTATCTCAAGAAGTGAGTAGCTCAAACCCTGCCACAAATTCTGTTAGTGTTTAAGGTGCTACTGGACTCTTCCTCTTTTCTACTGAAATATATTGAGTAAGAGGTGAGCTGTTTCTCAAACCCCCTCAGTAAATCTCTGAACATTGTACAAAATGGAACAAGACACTGTTCTAAGAAGTGATAACATGGAAATAAATTCAGTTTGCATGCTGGTACACTATACTACTTACCCTTCTGGTTTGAAATCTTCCCTTCTGGACATGAAGCACAATCATAGCAGCAAAATGGCTCCCCTTCTTTCTTTTTCTTATGATAACCAGGGTCACAGTAATCATTACACAGAGAAAGTGGCAGCACCTGTCCCAAAACATGAAAGAGGATTTAGAATGGGGAAAATATGCATGTGGCAAAATTTCTAGCTGCTGTTGTCAAATCACATGACAACTTCTGCAGTAGCAACCTTTACATTCTTCCATGCTTTCCTGTGGAATGAGGTTTATTGTGGGATGAGGGTTTGCTGTTGCAAAAAACAGTAAAGACAATGAAACAATAGAATAGAATGGGGGGAATTACACATCATTTGCTTGCTAAACAATACAAACCAGGGTTCAATAAAAATGAAATAATTATGCACCCCGGTCTGGTTATTCATCAGTTGTTGGTGGAAAGTGCCCTCAATCCCAACTGACTTATGGTGACTCCACAGGGTTTTCAAGGCAAGTGATGAACACATAGCATATGTGCATAGCAATCTGCATAGCAATTCTGGACTTCCATGGTAATCTCCCATCCAAGTACTAATCAGGGCCAATGCTGTTTCACTTCTGAGAACTGATGAGATGCGGTTCACCTGGGCCATCCAAGTCAGGACATTGCCCAGTTACAGCACATATGGTTTTTACAGTCCTTTTCTATGCTGGGGACTAGAATAAGGAAACTGACTACTGAGCCCCACTGGGCTTTCCAAAGCTGAAATTTTATACGTCTGCTTTACAAACCTTCCAAACACTAATGCAAGCATGGAAAATATTTCATATCTTTTGCCACCTAATCACTTGCTTTAAAAATGGGAGCAAAAATGAGATTTCAACTGTTTGATCTTTCTTTAGTATTTGCTTATGAAATGTGGTCATATTTTTGTTATAGAGCCTTAAGAGGGAACAAAATGGACCAAGAAAAGAAGAAAGTGGAGTAGCTCCTGAGAAGACTCTGCGATCCCCACCTGGTTAAAACTTGTTTGCCACATAATCATCTCCTCATTGATGATGAATTCTTCTCCTTTTGCATTTGGATCCACTCTTCCAACTTTAACCCTGAGGAAGGACCTATTTGGGAATATGACCAAGTTGGTTATGTCAAATCCAGTGCCCATTTCCAAATCGTCATTAAAAAGCACTGTTTCTCCCGCTGAGTTGTTAAATGAAATTCCTTGAAGAAATGGATGGATCTGTTTGAAAGAGAAAAACAACACCAACATCTCCTTGTTGTGGTTTTACGCTGAGATTTCCAAATGTCTTTCATTGCTGATACAACTTTTATGTAATTTTAGCTATCTCCAGCTTGGCTCCGTGTTTTTCAACAATAGAAAACAGAATGTTTAGGGTTTAACTTATTTCAGCTTCAAGCAATGAAGGAAATGAGAAGGCACAATATTTTTTCAATGAATGATATGCAGAATATAAATTTTCTAGTTAATCCTATGGGGAAAGTTGTCTTAGGCCCCTGCCACACGGCAGGGGAAAAGGCGCTTGAAGGCACGGCTTTTAAAAGACACGCCAACGTTGACACGGCGCGGCGGGAAAAGACGCACCGCGATCAAACGCCTGCTTGCCGCGCCGCGTCCATTTGAACCACCCAAGGTAGGTGGTTCATTTTGCGGCGGTTCTTCCCGGGTTTGGGCCAGTTCGGGTGCGGAAGCAGGACGCTTCCCAGATGTGGTGGTGTGATCGCGCCGGTTTGACCCGGCCCCGAACTGGCCCACTCCCGGACCAAATCGCCGCGTGTGAACGGGACCTTAGATAGTTATAGACTGTAGTATTCCAATATGGTCTCTGTGGAGTTGCTATTATAGATTTCAGAAGCTATAGGTACTATAAAATACAGGATCTAAGGTCTTTAAGAACATAAGATAAGCCAATGTTGGATCAGGCCAATGGCCCGTTCGGTCCAACACTCTGTCAAACAGTGGCAAAAAATACCAGGTACCATCAGGAGGTCCAGCAGTAGGGCCAGGACACTAGAAGCCCTCCCACTGTTGACCCCTCCCCAAGCACCAAGAATACAGAACATAACTTTACTAAGGTGTTCTGTTATCAAATAATAACTCTTTTCTTTTACAGTTATACTAGATTCAACTTTGCTTATGTTGCAATACAGCAGCAGAATTTTTGAGCTTAAAGTCCTTCCCAACCAGCCTGTCTGAACAACGATATATCTGGGGAATACCATTCTTAAGGGCCCCATCTTATTCAAGGTGAGAATAATACACTGCTTTACCACCCTCCCTAGCTGTGAAATTCTTGTTCTCAAAAGATGAAGCCTGAAGGCGCACTTCTACTGAGTGATCCTTGAACTGATTGATTGCCGAAGGTGCCATGTCCTTCTTATTGTATCTTTTGCTGGCTTAAAATAATTTTGATTATTGTTGTCAGCTGCTTATCTATGGGGCCAAAGTTAACAAACTCACCACAAAAGAGCACACACACAAATAGATAAAATGGCAATAAATCTGCTCATGGCAATGAAGTTATTTAATTAAAAGACCTTTATTTATTTATAATTTTGATTTATATTCTGCCCTCCCCGCATGGGCAGGCTCAGGGAGGATTACAACAACTTAAAATACAACAGAATAAATACAATAAAAACTTAGATGCATCCACAGAGCAGTAATCTAAAATTCAGACAAGCAACCAAATTTATAAATAAATAAATAAATAGACACATTTAAAAATACATTTATAAATTACCTGCCACGGTTGAAGATTTTTAAGGAAAACTTGTTTGCTCTCCACAAGTGCACTGGGATTGGGTTTAGATGAGTACATGGCATGCAAAGCATGTGTCATGGCATAGACAGCATTATAGATGCTGTAGCTGTGGCCAGTCATACTCATTTCAAACACAGGGCCAGGGAGACTCTCCAGCCTCTCTTCCCCAGTACATGTTTCATTGACTTGCTTTGCTCCCCAGGGGTTTGGAAATGTACAGTCAAATGTTTGTTCCCAGAAATCCTTGAGAAAACCATCTCCTTGTACTGTGTACAGATTTCTATACTGAAGAAATTTCTGGAAACCTTGACATGTCTTTGAGTGAATTGTGAATGAAATGGTGCCCTGGAAGAACTGGATATCCCAGGACCTTTGAGCACTTAATAATGTAAAATCGACTTGGGCTGTCATGATCCACACCTTTCTAAATGAAATATTCTCCTTATATTCAGGATTGCCCAGAAATAAAAAAGCATTAAGTGTCATAAAAGTCGAAGATTCTCCATAGAGCACAAAGGTCCTGGAATTGTTATTAGTGAAAGACAAATATACCTTTTTAACTAAATCAATTATTTCATCTACATGATCCCAATGGCCTTGGTTTAGGATTCTTGTAATGAAGGCCAAGCAGATTCCATGCTGAGAAAACAGTGGCTTCATCTCCTGCAAGAAATAGTCTCCACTGACATCATCCACAGCAAACAGCCCAATCCACCTCCATCCAAAATGCTGAATTAACTTGATAATCCCCATGTACTGCTGGGTTTCATTTGGGACCATGCGGTAAAACGTAGAGGAATCTCCTGTATCCTTCTGCTTTGGGGCAAATGAGCCATAGGTGAGCTAAAAGGAAATATGCGGATATTTTAGAGATGAATACCTGCCTATGTGGTTTGACGATCCGATAGAGAAAGATTTAGGTTTGATGAGGCTTAAAATCAAGGCTCCATCCAACTTTAATTTCCATAAATGGTGGGATTCAAAATGGTGGGATTCAAAATGGTGGGATTCAAAATGATTATAGCAAAGACATCTACTAAAAGCCCATTACTTACCTCATACCTGCAACACCCCCTTCACACCAAGCCCACCAAAGGAACTCTTCAATAAATCTCATCAAACCACCTTAAAATAACTCAGACTCTTAGTCCATCAAGGTCAGTATGGTCTACTCAGATTGGGAGTGGCTCTCCAGGATTTCTCACAGAAATCTTTCCCATCACCTACTACCAATTCCATATAATTGGAGGTGTCTGGGACCTCCGGCATGCCAAGCAGAGGCTCTTCCACTGACCCATGGCCTCTCTCCAAACTCTTGTTTGACCCTTCTTTCTGCAGTGCAATAGGAAGTCATTCCTTCTATGTCATCCATACCTCTCCCTCCTTCTGAAAAAACAGAATAACTCCCGAGTATCATTTCTGAATTCATTCATAGAGCCTACCTGTGGTATCTTGTAGAGACTTAAGAGGTCTGCCATGTAGGAAGAGACTTCCAAGCTAAGTCCTCCAATGACAGCTATTACGTTTTTCTGGACATCACATTTATAATTGGGAAAATATCGATGCAGTTTATAGAGGAGATCCAGAGTGGAACGATAGGTCATTCGAACATCATAGTAGCAGTCAACGATGTGGAACCCGAGACTGACATTAGGCAAGATCTTTGGGTTCTCGTTGATCTCCTTAACAGCAAATGCCAAGACCAAGAGATGTTGATAGAGCCTAGTCATTATACTTTAAAAAGAGGAAAGGTCAACAGTTGTGAAGCAATAGATAAGACTTCCTTCCAATGTATTTGAAAACGTGTTAGTGCATATAAAAGCTCATACCTCTAATTAAACTTTGTTGGTCTTAAAGGTGCCACTGGAAGTAGAGAGCCAGTTTGGTGTAGTGGTAGTGGTGTAGTGTAGTGCTGTAGTGGTTAAGTGCATGGACTCTAATCTGGGAGAACCAGGTTTGATTCCCCACTCCTCCACTTGCACCTGCTGGATGACCTTGGGCAAGCCATAGTTCTGATAAGAGCTGTCCTTTAAAAAGAGCAGTTTTCGTCAGAGCTCTCTTAGCCCCACCTACCTCACAGGGTGTCTGTTGTGGGGAGGGGAAGGGAAAGGAGTTTGTAAGCTGCTCTGAGACTCCTTTGGGAAGTGAAGGGCGGGGTATAAATCCAATCTTTTCTTCTTCTTCTTCTAAATGTGTTGTACTGCTTCAGACTAACAGCTGATCTATTTGGATGGTAAGTTATGATGTCACTCAAATTTTGATCTGTTTGTTTTTTAAAATGTATTAATGCCTTACTTCTTAATTTTTTAAAAAAATCTTAGTCATATAAACACAATAGAATACAATACATGATAGAGCACACAATTCTACAATGAATTACTCAGTGAGTCAGGCAAATTCTAAATAAAATATGTAACACATCATATATTTTCCAAATTCAGCAAGGAGACTATTAATTTTCAAAAGGTCATAGACACCTACATCCAAACAACCTTAATATCACAACATTTTATCTACCATACTTTAAGATACTTTTCACACCTAAAACATAGTATGTAGTATTGTTGTATTTTCCAAGGCACCTGCTATTCAACAATGAATCCAGCCATTACCTTGTCATACAAAACTTGCACCGTTAAAAATAACTTTAGGGCTTCCAAGAACCAGAGAACAAAGCAAGTTTAGCCCTCTCATCTCTCAACTGAATCAGCTTCATCAACAATTTAAAGGAACTTAGCCAACTGCTAGACTTTGCTTATCCAAGTCTTAATAGTATAAGTTTATTGTCTTAGCCATAGGCCATAACATAACACATCAGACTATAAAATGTTAATGTAAACAATAAATAATATAAGTGTACTCCTATTCTCCTTCTACTTTGCATTAAATATTAAACTCATTCTGATTTTCCTTGTTGCTAAGGCAAATAACACAATTCTGCTAGAGACATCGTGGTCAAGGTCATAGAGTAAAAATGTGACAAGATCCAGATCGGAGAGTCCATTATGCTGCAGAATAATAGGGATGATGTACTTTAACCTAGGGGCTTCAGGCCATGGGCATCTCAGAATATAATGTACAATATCATCAACTTCCCCCATATCACAAAGACAAAGTCTAAGGGAGGGCAGGGATACCAAAGAAACATCCAGTCCTGATCATTGAGGGCATGGATTGAAGTCTTAAAGCTGTAAAAGCTGATCTTAATTCCAGGCTGGTTAGCTTCTTTAAATACAGGGACCTACAGTGATCCCTTTTAAAAAGACTTGAATAATGGTGCCCTAAGACAACATGCGATCACATCCCGATCCATAAGCTCATCCTTTTTTAATACCCATTCCTTCAGAACCTGTATTTGAGTTTTATTCCTTAATAGATCATCAGGAATTTCAATTGAATCGAGGCCAAATGGTCACCTAATCTCTTGGAGGCTTTCAGGTGCAAACTAACCCCCCCCCAGGAAATCCTGGGGTCATTCTAAACATTCTAAACATTTTCTCCAATAGGATAGAATTCTGACATTGACCCAGTTCAGCCCTCATTAATGCCACTGGCACACCCCTTGGCATGAATCGACCTCATAAAATAATTCTGTACTATTTCTAATGAGGACAATATCTGATCTCCCCAGATTGAGATATTTAATTCATATCCAACATTGAATAGCATAAGCAGAATCAGATTGGAGCTGGATATAAAGGTTGTTGTTACCTAGTTGGTATATATTGAAAAAATAGAGTATATTGCAGTATATGAAAAATGGCACACAGCAAATAGTGCACTGATGTATGGGAGAATCCACTTCTGAGGAAGCCTGGAATGAAATGAAGAGAAATGTCTACAGCTTCATTAAATGCATATAATAATTATGATTCTCCTGTTTGTTATAAGTAAACTTGTATGTTACACTTCCAAGAATTCATTTACGATATAAAATTTATATTCGCATATTTCGGTACCCCGGTTGATTCTGTAATTCTGATACTTTATTACTGGGAGGTATACCAGCCATGGGTCAATGTTGAGGTTCAAAAGCTTCTGCCATAATCTAAAGATTCTACCTCTATCTAAAGAGCCAAACACCGAAGCCAGGTTGATAAAGCCTCTAATGGCCTTTGTAGGGCCTCTAATGGCCTCTGAAGACAAGGTATATAGAGTTTGACAGTGTTCGATGGCAGAATGACCCTTCTTGAACCCTATTTGGAGGAGATGGATTAAATTATTATCAATAACATAATCCTCTAATTTATTTTTTAAAGGCTGACTATATAGTTTAGAGGCAATTGGCAACAAACTAATTGGCCCATAGTTGCCCAGCTCGATCTGATCACCCTTCTTGTAAATTGTGAAGATGATACTCATGGTACATCCCTTTGGAAGTCTACCGGTACTGTCAGTTAGGCAGAGTGTTTTAAAACAAATATTGACTGGTGGCCTTAATATTTACACATTGCCTTTTTTTCTAGTTTTAATTAACAGCATTTTTTGTTGTTGTTCAGTCGCACAGTCGAGTCTGACTCTTCGCGACCCCATGGACAATCTCCCGCCAGGCTCTCCTGTCTTCCGCCGTCCTCCGAAGTTGGCTCAATTTCATGTTTGGTGCATCGCTGACACTGTCTAACCATCTCATCCTTTGCCATCCCCGTCTTCTTTGACCTTCAATCTTTCCCAGCATCAGGGTCTTTTCCAGTGAGTGCTCCCTTCTCATTGGGTGGCCAAAGTATTTGAGCTTCAGTTTCATTATCTGGCCTTCCAGGGAACAGTCGGGGTTGATTTCTTTGAGGATTGACTGATTTGTTCTTCTTGCAGTCCAAGGGACTCTCAAGAGTCTTCTCCAGCAAAATCTAAAACCATACTTTCATATTACAGGTACATCTCCTGGTAAAATTCCCAATAATACACATTTAGGGCTATTTACTAGCGTTATTTCTAACATTACTTTAATTTTCCCAGTTATGTCCTTCCCAAACTTCATAACTACTGGATATTTATAAAATGTTCATATATTGTCTGCGTCTTGCTTTCTGTGTTTCCAACAGAATACTTTGTTCACATAAAAATTATGATTTAATTTTTGTGGAGTCAAATGCCCTTGTTAAGCCACTGTATACAAGTTTTCCTTCAATCTGACAGTAATTGATATGGGACTCAACAAAGCAAAAGCCTTAATCACCCAAAGATTCGTTGATATAGAGTCCCAAAAAGACGTAGCAATACTTCCTTTAAACTATAAAAGCTTAAGAAAAGGATTGAGCTACACTGTATCCCCATATCTTTCGGATATTACAAAGGAAAGATGTAGGTGGGCCTTCTCTAGAGCACGGTTTGATTCATTTCCCTCCGCAGTTTTGTATGGAAGGTTCTCCCACCTGCCCTTGCAGCAGTGTTGCAGTCCCTGTTCAAACAAAGTGGTTGAATCTATCACACATATACTTTTGCACTGCAAATTCTATCAAGAAGAAAGGCTACAATGAATGATTCCATTACTCTGCAGATTCAAAACATTACAGTATCATATAGATTTTAGTCCTGAAAACCTTCAGGTATATCTATTCGGTGACAGTCAGAGAACTGTATCATATGCAGTAGCAAAATTCTGCTGATAGCACTCAAAAAGCGGTATCACTTGACGAAGGAAACATCAGTTGCTGGGAGATAAATTAATGAAATGAATGTCTTTTACACATATATACCATATCTTTTATGTATTTATTCATTTTAACTTGTCCTTATTATCTGTATTTATTGTGACTGGTCTTATGACTGTAATAAACATTTGAAACTTTAAAAAAAATGAGCTGAGGACCATGAAAGTACTATGATTCCATTGTGGGAAAATGCATTGAATGGGTCTGGTAGTCTGTGAATTGGTCTGGTTTGTGCTTTTTCCTATGTTCTGAGGGAAGCTTCACATATTGGACATGTAAGTTTCTTCTGAATCTCTTCTTTTTCACCATCACTGATTTCTTCCAAACCTTTACTTCTGAAGTCTACCAGTCATCAATCTAAATGTTGCCAGTTCTCGAACACCACAGCATAGCATGATATGTCTCTTGTATATTCTGCAGTTCATGGATCCAGTAATAAGAAACTTTTTCACAACTCTAATGGTTCACAGTTCAATGTTTTTACATACTTTGTCCCCTTCTTTCTACAATATATCCTTTAGTATTGAGCTCCTCCTCATATAGACTTTAATGTGCTGTCAGAAAGACAATACCAAGGTGCTATTTTCATTAAATAATTAATGTTATGAGAATATAGTATTTTTGATTTTTTTTTATTTTTTCAAGAAAAAATGGGGTACAAAAGGGAAGAGGGGGTAGGGGAAAATTTGGATTCATTAAATGTATCAAATATTATGGGTTGTTACAACAAGTAAAATCAACTGTATTAATAAAACACGTTTCAAATATAGAAGCAGACAATAAAACATCATTATTACAGAGTTTTGGGATGGGTTCTCTCTTTAAGATAATAAACAAGAACTTTCCTAATGGTCTTGGTGATCTACTATCTAAGAACTAGCCATGACCAACCTTACTTCACTTCTGAGCTCTGAAAAAAGCTGAGCTGAAGCAGAATAAAATTTTTGAGGTTAACAAGAGCTGATTCATCAAAATTACAGCCCAAATGTGAGTCAAGTGGACACATTTTCAAAATTCCCCTGTTCTTCTTCCAGATTTGAACAAACACCCACCACCTTTATCAGTGTTATCTTTTTAGACTT